TGTGTAGTGACTTTCCATATCTTCCTCAGAACTTATTGTGGTTGGTGAGCATTCCCTATATTTTTTTGTCTCTAAATATGTGTCAATTGGTGACTTAGCCGCTCTTTTACCTTTACTGCTGTGAGATGGTTCATGTTCATCTTCCATGTCTATAAGGACTTGAAATCTGTTTGTTGTGGGAGTTTTTACACCAGTTGGACTTGCAGTATTTCTGTTTGTATTTGTTCTGTTTGTGTTTGTTCTGTAGTACACCTTTGTCCTGTGTATGTCTTGTGTACCTCTTGTCTGGTGGGGTTTACCATTATCATATTCTCTGTTATTTCTTTTGTCTATTTTGGGGAATTCATTGTTATCTGGAACAAATCTTTCATTATAAATATATAATCTATCTCTTACTAATCTAGCTCTCTGTCCAGTTTCTTTGGCCTCTTTTAGTTTTGGGTACAATAATTTTCTGCGGTTTTCAATTTCTCTTGGATATTGTTCTCTTACACCAAACTCTGAACCTTTTAAAACTTCTGGGGCTGTATACTTTATCAGCTCTCTATCTTTGTCTTCTTTAAATTTTGCAATGATTGGCCTTGGTTTAATTTGGTCCCTTCTCCTCTTGCCAAGTCTATGTACCCTTTGAAATTGGATGCTTTTGTGTATTTTCATTTTGTTTGTGATAAACTCATTCAGACTTTCTTCAGTGTTTTCATATTCTCCTGTTTCTGTTTTAGGTTCCTCTATACCATAGAAAATTAAGTTGTCTTGCATGCTTCTGCATTGGAGATCTAATATTGTTTCATGTTGGTCTTGCTGATTTTCTTTTATTTCATTCATGGTTACTTCAATCTTTTTCATCAGGCCCTGTAGATGATCTAATTTACTTTTAGTATCATTTTGATCAAAATTGATGTTTTCATAAAGGTCACTTCACTTCAATGCTATTCTGGTATTCATGTATTTGTTTTGTTTGACATTGCACTTTTTCATCTAGCATTTTGACATTATGTTCAGTTTTAGTCACTGCATTTTTCACTTTATTTATATCTTGCACCTGTTGTTCAATAGAGGTTATTCTTGAGTTTTGTGTTTTTATCAAAGTTTCTAGAGTTTGCCATTGGACACCTTGGTATTTCAATTGTCTGTCTATTCCACTCAGTCTCATCTCAATTCTTGATTCCATTCCTTGAAGTATATTGACCCAAGGGGGGATTTCATTTGGGTCTTGCTGATTTAGTGGTGGTGCTTGCATACCAGGGGGCATTTGGGATGGTACACTTGGGTATGACTGTTGGTATGGGGTATTTATATTCAAATATCCGCTACACATGTTTGTATTGTTCAAATCATATACCTGCCCTGATATTATACTTGTGTTTCCATTCTGAACAGTGTTGGGTATTGTTTCAGTCATGTTTTGTACGCTTGTACTGGGTATAATTGTGGGTGGGGAAGGGTATAATACTTGTCTAGCATGATAAAGTTGCTGTACAGCTGGCGATTGTTCTGCATTATATTTTACTTGGGCATTTTTAGTTGTCTCAATATGCCCAGTATTACTTGCCATACTCATATTTTCATCTTGAATTCCGCCTTGATTGACTGGACTATACATGCTTTGTGTGGGTGGGGTATCACCGCTTTTTATATTGTTACCATTTTTGCCACTTTTATGTTTTTTCCCCATATCATGTTGCTTCATAAGTTATCTGTTTTATAAATGACTTAATGAATTATAACATCAACTTTTATCTTACGATCTATTTAGACTTGATTTGTCGTATATTTATATCACCGTTTTGTTTACATACATGTTGCCGCCATGATCACGTGACAAATAAAATGTATCTTTAAAGATAATATTATCACTCACCTGAATTACAATCAATGTGTTGCCAAGAATTACATCCATCACAAGAAACTGCTAAATCATCATCTAACACAAATTCAGAGCAAGAAGCACAAAGATAAAATGTACACAGAATCAGACATTGTTAAAGTACACATTAAGTATGAAAATTGACAAAAAAAATTGTTTGTTTTGAAGGCATTTGCTTGTTACTCATTTGTTAAAGGTGCTAATTTATATCAAATATGCAGTTGTTTTTGCAATTGTTGGCCTTTGATTTTCTTTAATCTATTCTATTTAAAAAAGGTACTTTGATCTGACAAATCAATTAAATTTTCACAAATAATTTAAAAAGTGGAGATGAAAAGACCAGGGTTTTGAGGGTGAAACGTTCAGGGGTGAAACATCCTGGAGGTGTAAAGTCCAAACACCGGATAAAATTAAAAGATACAACAGAATGTAGGCCTAACACGATAAAATTCTTACCTTTAATTTAAACACGATAAAATTCTTACCTTTAATTTAAACATCGATCTAAAAAATCCCTTAGAATCACATAAACTTTACTGCACTTTTTGTCTTGAATTGTCAAATTCAAAAGTTCACGATTATTTCAATATTTAACAAAAGTCAAATCGGCATTCAAACACGCCGCGACGCGTCTTATTTTTTAAACGAAACAATTTGTTCACTTATTAAATAATAATCCGGCAAAATAAAGTAAACATTTACAAGTTCTCAAAGAAAATCGTCTAGCCTGTTTGTTATGATTACATGTTAAAGTATGACGTGGACCATTTGCCATATAAATTATGACGTCACTTCATTTGGTGTTAAAACTATTCGCAATCTAATTATTTCGTAATTGAAATCGAAATTGAAATAATAAATAAATAAATATCGCGTCTTGATTCAAGACTTGTAAGGGTATGAGATTACATTGTAGAATTCACATGCTGATGAGGGGACGTAAGAATGTAAATGAAGCATCAATCAGTGCTAAAGCAAAGTAGATCTAGAATATAATTACTGTTTTCGAGTTTTTGCACTGTTTTTGTGCATGTATATACATGTATATGAGAGTTATACATGATGAGCAACACCCATTTTCAGCTCAAAAGGTCGAAGGTCGATCATGGTCTCTGGTACGTGTATAAACAAAGTATAACTGACTATGAAGTCAAAGCATATAAATTGTGAAATTTCAAACTTTGTATGCTGATGAGTCCTATTTGCCGTACCAATTTTGAGGTTAGCGATATTTGGTAAAGGTCACAGTGACATTTTATAATTATAACGTTTTGTGTTAATATGTTCATGACTTCGAAACTTTATGTATAGTTTAGTGTTTAATAATACATATTAACAAAAATAATTGGTCAAGCCTGCCGCAGACAGGCGACCAATTATTTGTGTTAATGTGTATTATTAAACATTTAACCTATTTAATGATCAACATTATTTTTTTCAACCAAAAACAAGGCATTTCTCTAAATCACTGATAGCTCCACCCTTTCGTTCTACAAGATGTCTACACCTTGTCAAGTTTCTAACATGTCACATTTAGATAAGCTAAATAAATGGCCCTTTCAACATATAATTAGGCTGAAATGTCACAGAATTTATATCTTTATCTACAATAAGACTATCATGTTTCTATAAAATATCTGGGGAAAAAACAGCGATGAAAACAATGCAATTAGGTAAAACAATGGAGTTAATGAAATGTGTACATCCTTTTAAAATCAATGGAAAATTAAGAACAATACATTAGAGATTATTAATTGATACAAATTCGTTACTAAATTTTAAAATCCCTATTGATTTGCTCATTTGAAAAACAGTTGACTTTTTTTCTGTGTGTCAATTTAGGTTTACAGGTGGTACAATGAGTTTTCCAGCCATAAAATGTAATCATAGTATTCTTAATATCAAGCATTGTGTTAATGCAGTTCATTCCTATCGACTGAAAGAAAATAATGTTTTGGTTACTTTTTCTAGAAAATATAAAGTTTAAAACAGTCAGCAATTTATAACAGACATTTTTCATAGAGTTAAAAGGATATAAAAAGTAACAATGTAATCATTTGTCTCTGCGTGCCCCACATGTATTATATATGTAATAAATTAATTGATTGTATCCCCACATTTAGAAGCACATGACCTCGCTTAATTTTTTTACGTTGGCATTGTTTTGCTAACCTTAGATCTTTTACAATTCAGAGTGCAAACCACAGCTCTAACTCCTCCCTAATATAATGCATTATTGAAATTTGTTAGACTGGTTAGACGACAGGTTAAGTAAATTTTATTTAGTTAGTACACATTAACCAAAGTTAGACTTAGCAGAAATTTGAAAAATACTACAACGTGATTGGACAAAAAATAATGTTGATCATTAAATGTTGACTTCTGCTTGCCTGTGGACCAAATTTTAAGGTCAATGTGACAAATTATCTCACTCTGTATTTGGAAAATATCCAATTTACTATCCAACACTGACAAAAGTAGCGTATATTGTATATCATTGAATCATCTTGATTCCATACACTCTGAAAATGTTTAGAATTTTCATCACACTTTGAAAATTGATAATTAACTGATAGTGCGCTTCTTCATAATAAAAGACATAGTTTGAAGTGAACTCTTGTTTTTTGGTATAATTATTTGATATCACTACATGAACAGATTTGATACAAAAGTAAGAAACACAAAATTCACAATAGTTTCTAACGACATACCGTAAAACAAACAAAGACAATTGACTCACTGAAATGAAAATAATAATAATACACTGTATATTGACAATGACTGAAATATCGTAAAATGTTTTAAATACATGCATGAGGTTTCTATTAGCTTCTGGATGTTTCTAAAAAAAAGCATCGGCTAGGGTCTTTAGACTTTCCTTTTTATAAGAGGAAGTTATTTCATGAATTCAGTTTTTTACAATTTCCAAGCAACTTAAGTTTAATAATACATTTCATTAGAGCCTCATTGTCAATCTTTAGAAAGCCGCGTAAAAGCACGGATCAGTAACAATATTTACAATACAAAAGTGACAATTATAACGCTGTTGTAATGCTGAATGTGAAAACGAAACATTTGTTTGCAAATGCTGTTTATTTAGTTCAAGATCACGACTAAGCAATATACAGGTAGTTTCATGAATATATTTTGCTTTTCTTATATACGTATGTCCATAACACTGTACTGTAAATGCTCATAGCTAAAATGCTAAACAAGAACATAACAATATCCATCTTCTTAAGAAACTCATTCCATGTCAAGGTCTTGTCCATTTGAGGCATGTTTTCAAGTTCATATTCATCATTTGTTTTCGACATAGCGTCAACGCTTTTCACTTGATTTGATTTTATTTTACAGATGTTTATCTCGTTTGAACCTATGCTAGAGTTGATCTTAGCTTCGATAATGACATAGATAACGGTGAAGACGCTGAATATGAGGAGGGTAGTGACGTAGACAATGTAGTAGGATACTTGAATGGAGTTATGGGGAAGAGAATCTCTGGTAATTGTGGTAAAGAAACCATATGCGAGGAACAGAGTGATAGACAGTGATCCCTTCTCTCCTGATTCAATTGGTACAAGAAACGTGAAGACATTTACCACGGCAAGTGTTGCTAGAGGAATAATCATTGTATACACTGTAAATTCTGCTCTTCTCTGTACAGTGACTACGATGAACATGACATTCGTATTGAATGAATCTATAACTTTTGCAGTAGTTTTAACAACACGCCATTCCGAGTTTTCCAAAAGGTTAAAGTAATGATTAGCATGTGGCACATTTAGAAGCACTGTGTCTTTGTTTTCACCGGCAGCGTGATAAATCAACTCGCATGTTTGTACATCAAATGGATAATATTTAACAGTCACTTTGCACATGGAGCTAAAAAAGCAACAAAATATAGCTTTGAGTAAGAGAAGGCATTGTTAATCAGCAATGTACACTCCACAATTTGTTTCTATTAGCTCACAATAAAGTAAAAGCACACACAAAAAACACTTTCATGATTGCTTTTCAATGACATGTGATGTGAACAACTTATATCTCTTTTCACTTCAGCTGATTTTGTAAATAACATAGCAAGAAATTTATTTGACATCGGATCAAAACATTCAAATGTAGCCTACACACGAATATATTTTGTAGCATAATATAAGTTTATTTATTGGTAACATAATCATTTGTTCTAAAAATGAAACGGTTTGTTTGTTTGTTTCATTTTACGCCTTTTTCCAACAGTATTTCAGTCATATAGGCGGGTAGTTTCCTAACCATCGTTCCTGGAGAGTTACACCAGTACTAGACTATCTTCCTCCGCGCTAAACTACCAAAGCATCTCCCGGGGAAAAATTATTCTAGTGATATTCTAGTGAAATAATATAAAGCTTACTAAATCATTTGGTAAAGACATTTTTTAAACATACAAAGCTTATGATATATCACGTTTGCCACCGAACGTGTCATTTACCTTAGTTTGCATATTGACAGAAGTCTAAATGAAATTGTAGAATTTCAAACTCGATTAAATAACGTGAAAAAGAAGCGATTTTATATTATATATAAACTTACTTGAAAATCCCATCATGAGTCCACACGACAAATCCATTGTATGAGATTTTAGCTATTTCCGTTTCTTTATCACCCAAGGTTTTACTTGCATCGTTAGTCTGGAAATATAGAGTACTTTTAATTAATATAAAACCGTTTAATTATCGATATAAAACAGGTAAGTTATTGGTCTAAATTGTTTGTCATACTTTTTTACCCTTTCATTTTTTGGATCAATGACTTTGTTGTATTCTTCCGCGTAATTATAAATGCAAAAGGTTTTTTTCGGGTACACAGATTTACTGTGCACAGATTTATTTTCTTTGTGAAGACGTCTAGATAAACAAAGCAGGGTTAACAAGCATTTCAAGGGAACATTTTTCATATACTGTTTCTTTTATTTGGAAGGTAACTTTTATCTTATGTAAATTGTGAGATGCCTCAAGAAAGGAAATAAGAGAGGGTGAAAGAGACTCCAGATTATTATTATATTACATTATATTATATTATATTAAACTGTCTACGACACGGGGAAAGGCTTGGACTGCCGAAAAATAAATACAGACTCCTCCGTCAAAGACCCCGAATATGGACAGTATTGCCGATAGCAATGAATTAGAGAAAAAGGCTCTCATTGATAAACCTCGTGACTAAGCGGAAGCTGTAAAAACAAGTAAAAACAGCTGTAGTTATTGCTATTGCGTATACAGATCACAGGTATACAGGTCGAAGAACGCGAATTGTATGTTCAATCTCTTGAGAAGTCGTTGTCATCTGGTGCAGGAGTTTTGGATAATACTAGTTCTTATTCCAGTCATTTAGTGAATGGGACCAGATTAAAGACGAAAACCAATCCAGTGCTTTCTTTCAAGTCTTTTGCTTCATATACATCCGAGGCACCGGAGGCTGGTGGTCGTAGTGCTTCAGAAGCTGTTTAGTCATGACAACTTTCTTAAATAATCTGAGGATTCCAGAATTGATGATAAAGGCACTTCTCAATTGAACCTTAACTCTCTTTGAGTTATGCCACACATTAAAAACAAGGCTTTAAAAGAGCTTCAAAGATTAGGTGTTGTGTTTGATTAATCTTCGGATTTTTCTGAAAGTTATGATGGATGGAATTCCAAAAAGAAAACCATAAAGAACATAAACAGAAAAAAAGAAATAGGGTATTTCTTCCAAGTCTTTTGATTCTGTGAAAATCAAACAAAAATATCTGCTTTCAAAATTAAGATTAATTTTGTCAGTAAAAACATAATCTTTTATGATTTAGAAGTCTGTCTTTTCATTGCAGGAGAGTTAGAAATAATTTCTAAAATTTCAAAAATTAGTGCTCTAGAGAAAAAAGAATGAATTTCTCTTCTAAAAAAATAATGTACATGTATATGAATTCTTCGTTTGATATTTCAGAAATCAAATCTTTTTATGCGAAAGTTTTAAGAGAGATAGCCCTTGGTTTAGGTAGCTTGTGTGATGATATTACTTATATGGAATCAGCTGTTTAAGCCAGCGCAGGTTTCGAAGAAGAATCAGTCTGAATTACATGTTCAGTATTCTTCTTCTACTCAAATGAAGTTTCAAATCAAATCTGGTAGGTAATGATGATACTTGAATTTGGGTTTGTCCGAAATATCAGAGGAATAAATGCAATTTTAAATCATCACATGCCATTTACTAACAAACATGTTATAACAAGATTTGCCAAGCACATATTGGAAAGAAGAACTTGATCATCCAGAGTGTTCGTCTGCTTGTGTTTGTTAAATAAAGATAATGCTTCTTTGAAGGATATTTAGAAATTGTAGGGTAAGCTTAATTTTGTAGGTGCATGTGTCAAATCTACCAGAATCTTTATCAATCCTATTTCAAATTATGCAAATGAATCCAATACTCATGTCACTCCAGTAGATGTTAAGAAAGATTTATAATGGTTGAGAAAATTTCTTCCTTTATATATTGGCATTTCTTTAATTGATAATGGTATTTGATAACATGTTGATGAAATTTTTAGTTTAGATAGTTGTTTTCACGGTGTTTTCTAGATTTTATTCTGAATCAAGATTTCGGTATAACTTGATTGGAAATGTTGGCATTAATTGCGGCTAGCCGTAATAGCTATTATGCTTTGGTGTGTGGATTTGAAGAAAAGGTAAACTGATAATCTCACTGTTTATATTGTTAAATACTGGGAAGTGAAAAAAAATAATTTTCAAAGAATGTCTTGGTGAAATATGTTTTGTTGCTTATTTATATTTATTAATTTAAACTGAAAGGAATTCATACAAGTGGTAGTTTCACTCGATTGTCCGATTGTTTATCTATGTGGCATTTGTATAGTTCGGAATTTTATCAGCAAGTTCCTTATGCTTCCTCTTTGTTAGAGATATTCGTGGAAGACAGCTTCTTTAAATTTCTATATGATTTGTAATTAATTGGTAGTGCAGTATGGACATGTTTACATAGAGAAAGGATCTTAGGCATTTTACAGCTTCTGTTTTTGCATAGGATTCACAAAGGAATTTAAAGTTTAATAGGAAAGAATCTTTATTGTTTATATTTCAAGTCCCTCGTGTACAGACTCAATTAAACCGAGTCTGCAATTCTCTTGTAATTTTGTTGTGATTAATGCTTCCGAGGGATCACTTTGTTACCAGATTTTTGTTTGTTTGTTATTTGACTGTATGATTATTTTAAGTGGGACTTTTAAGTCTGTGATAACATAAGGAATATTATATGGGGAGATAAAACTTTACCTTTAATTGTAGGTTATAATACTCTTCATATTAACTCATATTTGTTAAATTTGTCGTTAAAATATATTCAGAGCTTAATTCCTCATCATATTACTTTGACTATTTTATTGCTAATTCATAAGGTTTTAGATTTTTCAGTGAGAGAGTGTCTTTTTCTTTTAGCTTTCTTCAAGCGGCCTATTGCCATTCTTCTTCTCAAAACTGTATAAGATAAATTTTAAATGCAAAACATCTGCATCATTTAGGTGATTTAATTCGTGTGCAATTAACTGGTCTAAAACAATTCAATTTCGTGAAGGACATCTCATTTGTCCATTATTAAGATTGCAAGATCAGAACATTTGTCCTGTTCTTGCTTATGAACGTTTGATAAATCTTTACATTAAACAGTGTAAAGATGCCTTGTTTTCGCTGTCTCAGCATTCTTAAGTTTCATATTATATGTTTTCGTGAGTGCATTTCTTTGATAGGCTAAGATTTAAAGGTCTGTTCCACACATACTTTCAGAAGGGGTTTCGCGATCCTTGCCTTTAAACCTGATTTTCCTACAGAACACAATAAATTACTTGGGGGACTGGAAGTCAGATGCTATAAGTTGTATTAAACGTTAGATTGGTCAGATAAAGTTAAAAGTTTGAATACGATGTTTTTTCTGTCAACGATTAATGTGGTTATGGAATTTAGTGCATCTTTCTTTCTCTTTTCATTTTCAGATATCAGGGTCTACATTTTGTCAGATTCCATTGCTAAGAATATTGAGGGGATACATGGAACAGAAGTGAATACCTTTCTGAGGATAACTGCCAAAAATAATACATTAAACCTGTTACGAACATTCATACGGTTACTTATGATATTCAGTCTTATTCAGCTGATGTGATTGAAAGTTTGAACTTTATTACCAGATGTAGGAAAATTTCTCAACACATATATCATATAAGTATTCTGCCTTGACCTTGTGATAATGAGTTTTGTAAGGTTAAAGTCAAATAAGTCAATAAGGGTTTGCAAATGCTTTGTAAACAAAAATGTGTCAGTTTGTTTCCTCTTTTAGGGCCTTTATAGATTTTTTCCTAGGAGAGAATTATTTGCTGTTTAAGATAAAGGTTTGCATCTTAATTCTCAGGGAGATGCTGTGCTCAGATCAATACATGTACAATTTTTCATGTTTTGAAAAGCAAAATTGCTATGTTCCCTTTCATTTTCTGTGCCAATGATTTTTTTGTATTCCTCCGCGTTATTATAAATTCAGTTTTTAGACACTTTTTGTTCGATACAGATTTTTTAACCCTTTCTTCCGTACCATATATTCCAAAATTATTAAAATAATTATTATTTTATTTTTCTCTCCATTTGTAATTTAATATTTCTTTACTTTTGTAAGGGCATTTTTTTATCTCTGTTCATTTACTGTTGTACACATTTATAATTTGTCAAAATTTATAACTGTTTAATCATGTTCTGTCGATCAATCTGTTTATGAGACTTTTCGTTTGTCCCGTTACCTATTGAGTCATTTATGTTGTGTATATTAATTATTAATTGTTCGTACTCGCGTCTATGCTCTGATTAAAGTCTGCTTATCATATTTTCCGTATTTTATCTGTGTACTAGAAACAAAAACAAAAATACTCTGGACGGAAATGTTTCAGGATTGCTTCTGTAACATTGTTAGTCCGCTGTAAATGACGATCGAAAGCTCTGATAATTAAATTTTCCGGAAGGCCCTGTAACATATTTAATTTTGTCGTGTTGGGCGTTCTTTACGGATTCCGATTTTCTCTACATTGATGCCACTTCAAGCATGCATCGATCTGTGTTGTATAACCATCACTTCCAAATCATCATAGCATTAATTTCATTTGATTTCAAAGATATGATGATATACATAAATTGGATAGGATTTGTTTGAATACATTGTTTTGTTTTTTAAACATGCTTAATAGAACATCTGCGTAATATAGACAGACTGCTTTCTTCTAACATAATCTCAATATGGAATTAAACACTATTTTGAGATTACAAAAAATGTACAATAATCATTTACATAACATATAAAATTAAAAAGTAAAATTAGTTGTCGCTAGCAGACTAAAAGTAAGTTAACAAATTTCGCGGAAAGAATGTAATCATTAACATTTTTTTTAAAGAAAATGGTACAAAAGTAAATCATACCTTGCTAAATTCAATTTGTGGGTACCATATATCATTAAGCCTCACACGGAAATAATTTGTTTTTCCGTAATCGTTTGGATCCCATTTAAGGACTTCATCAAACCATGTAATGATAAAGAATCCCATTATGACAATACTTTGTCCTGCTGTGTCAAAATCGACGATAGAATTAAGCGTAAATGAAGTGTTGACCTCTACAGTAGAAGATTGGTTGAGTCGAGGTCTAATTCTTATATCATAATCATCAAATAAATCCCGTAACAGTTCTTTGTACATTGTTATTGATGCGGAAGAATGACTTACTGAAGTTGGAAATTGCGCAATATATGAATGCAATTCGAACTGAATAATTATTACAATAAGTAACACTTTCATTTTTGCCACCATTTTAATTCAATTTCTAAATTCTTTTTTGTCGGGTGTGTGTACGATCACAACGTATGATAGCTGAAAATAAAATTCATATTAACATTTGAAAATGCTTAATAGCTTCAAATCATCGAACATTTTATCTATTCTCTGTAGGGACAATTTAAAAGCGATATTGTCACTGCATAAATGAGCTACTTTTATCTTATTGTAGGATATTTGCCATGTTCTTTCAGACTTCCTTTTTGAGCAAATATTGCAGACTGTCAGTTTTATATTAAACAATGCTTACATTTTAGCTTTTAATAGACACTTTGATTTGACTATACATTTGAAATGCTAAATCAATCCAACAAACAGTTTTTAACTACCTATTATATGTGAATTGCCCTCTAGAGCAAAGGTCAATCAATTTTCTTTAACCATTGTCACGCTAAATATCTAAAATGGACTTGTTCGTCTTTCTATCTGGTCAGATATATAAATATAATTACTAACTTAATAGCCGTGTCGGCTAATTTTGTTCTGCACTGTACTGGTTGCATAAGTAGAATGAGTTGCCACCAGAAGGGTTGACGTTAAAACATTGAACAGGTTTGCTTAAATAATTGGACATTGTTCCATCTTATTTTGCCTGTGCCATATTAATGTATGTAGATTTGTCTTTATTTTTGGGAATAAATTGCCATTTACCGTATAGAAATATTAAAGAACTTTCCACGCTAACTTTCATTAATTCCAAATTATAATTATTTTCTTTGGAAAGTCAGTACCTAATTCATTTGTACTTTTATGGATATTTTAACTCATCAAGGACTATTCAAGTTTTCATAGACATTATCACATAAATCTTGAGGCATAAACCGTAAAAGAATGATACATCTCTTGTTTTCATTATTATTTGTAATTGCAAATTGGAAAATGCCAAACGACATACAGCAAAATACATCTTATTTTATTATATTTCATTTTATTTCACTAAACTTTAAGTGACATGTTTATGAATAATGTACGAAACTCATGGCAATTAGATATGATTTATTTGATTCGAACCATAATTGAAATTACGAAAAAGAAACAACAAAAAACAAAAACAAACACATAAAAGGCAACAAAAAATTAAACAAACAGAAATAGAAATAAAAAAATAAAACAGACGCTGGTTCGATATTAGGTGGGGCTTCTCCGTAATACTGTAAGGGGAGATCACTGCGTAGGTTAGGTTAGGAATAAGTTAGGGCCCATATGGGCATGTGACAACATAAAACAATACATACATACAAAATAATACAAAATGGCAAATAATATGTAAAAACAAAATACTATAAAATGGCAAATTATAAATGGTCATACAACTCCATGATGTAATATAATTACAGTAATAATTGAACGGAGTTGACTGGTTATGGAGGATGAGAGAGAAAATCAAAAATCATTGCGAGAAAAAACAAAGAGAAAAGACATAAGTCTAACAAGCTAACATTATTTAAATAATAACATAATATTTTTGCAAAATATGGCAAGTTTCAAAAGGATATCCTTATTACTATGGTTCATTAATTTTTCAAATTTTAAAGCACTTGGACGTTCATAGAAATATTTATCAAGATACAGCTTTCTTGTATTAACTAAATGTGAACATTCAAAAAGATAATGGAATTCGGAGATTGCGGCTGCCGGTACAGACCGGAATATCTAGCTCGAGGGTGACTGTTTACGGCGGTAACGAGGCTCTGCCGAGTTACCGCTAAACAGTTATCCGAGAGCTAGATATTCCCGTCTGCACCGACAGCCGGTGTTTGATTCTTTTTCTTGCATATTAATCAATTATTTTCAGAACAGAAATTACGAAGACTGATATTTTCTTTACGCACTTTTTTCTTATAGTAGCGTATGAACTTATAACTTCATTCATAATGGTTAAGTGACGTCATCCCAAGAACGCAATTCAGTCATAAATGACGTCATTTAAAGCACGCGACTTGTCTTACATGGGGGTGTAAGACAGGGTTTTCTAGTACCACCGAAACGGTAGATAATCCTGTCTGATATGCAAGAATATAATTGGATTTTAGCCTCATTTTCATTTTAAGAGTTAAAGAAAATCCATGTCAAATGCATATTGTACTCAATCAAGCCTCTTTTTCGTTTTTACAGTCCAAAGAGTCTGTATCAAATGCATATTCAACTTAAGATAGCCTCATTTTTATTTTGCAAGTCCAAACAATACATATCAAATCCATATTGTACGCAAATAAACAAAGTTCTGTCAAAACATTGATGGTGTGAAATGAAAATGTCATTGACAATACTCTGGTTTTATTGCACTTATATTTGACGAGGCGCTAGAATTCAGTATTTAACATAACAACGTATTATAACCTCATATTATCAGGGAAATAAAATCCATATCATGTACAGTATATCACTAACACTGGGATTAGATTGTACTGATAAGGGGAGATCACTGCGTAGGAGATTGCTGAACTTGATTTGGCGAACATTTTTATTTTCGTGAAGTTCCATAATAAGTGATTGTAGTGTTGTGTTCTAAATGGCACATGCCTCGATTCAAATGTCATTATTTCTTTGTTTGATAAAAGTTAAAAATTACGCTGCGATTGTGACTATAAATTTAAAATAACGTTTCTTTACGTAGCGTCCCCGCAACAGTTGAACGTCTGACGTTTTCTTTTAACGTGAGTCTGTTTCCCGCGCGTCATTGAAAACAAATGAAAATTGCTGTTAGTTAGTCTTTCGTGAATATGGACGTGAAAAAACATTGCAATGTTATTGGGATATATATAGCCTGTTCGCTCACAATTAACAAATATGCTGTATTTATTATGTACTTATAAATGAAATGAAATATTGAAAATATTGATGCAATAAACTGCGTATTTTCATTTTCCGTATTTTCACTGTAAAAAATTAGTTTTCACTACAGTGAAACATATTTTCTGTATTTTCACTGGTGTATTGCCGGACAACTTCTTTCAGCCAATAAACAAAATTTAAGAGTAAATCTTTCAAATTGTAATATCAAAGAGAAAAATGTATTTAATAAACAGAAAAATCAAGTTTTTTCAATTAAATACAGGATTTATTTTCATCTTGTTGTATGAAAATTTTCATATTTCACTCGTGGCTACCGCCACTCATGAAATATTTATTTTCATACCACTCGATGAAAATAAATCCTGTATTTATAGAAAAAATTTGAATATCCTTGTGAAAACTGAGTTATATTAGTGAAATAAAATCCATATCACCCACATGTCACCACTCACACTATGGCTGAAGTAGCTTTGCCGAACCTTTGGCATACCTTTTAATTTTCTAATTCAGTAAAGTTGTTAGTTTACATAATAAGTAATTGTTGCTTTTGGTTGGCATATTTTTCGCTTCAAATATCAACTAAAAATTACACCACAATGATGACAATAAACTTGAAATACTTTTTTTCCGCAGCCGATGAACGTCTGAAATCATCCTTTTTTATACGTGCGTATGTTACCCCCAGCGTCGTTGAAAACTGTTGTAAATTGCTGTTTTCTTCACTTTAACGGATTTAATAAGAAATTATTTGGTGTTCATGATAATGCCATATATCACACATCACTCCACTTCTTTCTTACTTCTGTGCAGCTTCTTTCGCAGGTCGAAACAGAATTCACTTTTGCTATTATCTGGACCCATTTTTTGTTTGTTTTCTTTTCATTTGTGATTATTTCAGAAAAAAAAATGCTGAAAAGAAGTGATTTGCTCTCAGTTTCCTCTCTTGCAAGTACCTGAAGTTCATTTGTAGAAAAATTTGTCCTCAATTTTCTTGACTCAGACATTTTTTAAAACTTATTTCAACTATGATATCAAAATACTGCAAAATATGTATGCATCAATGTCAAAACAAGGCTATGCTTTTATTGTTTCTACTCAAAATGTTTGAAATATGTATAAAAATGTTACCCTACCCCACAAATTTTAAATAGTTGTTTGAATATTTTCGTTCTTGGAATGCCTTGTTCAAAATATGCCTAAAATTTACCAAAAAATGAGGGCCTGTTTACAAAGATTGCCTAAATTTTCTTAAAAGTACATGTAAATTGGTTGGTCTTGTCATATATAAAATACTTTTACCGTCTAGTGTTTAATTTATTAGAGGTATTTGTTATAAATTAGCCAATAAATACCGATAATAATTTTATAATTGAAATGAAACACTTTTTTTCTTACCAAGAGTGATACGAGAGACATATAAATAATATTCTAAGAAAAAAAATCAAAAAAAATCTGCCTCATCTGGGGCTTGAACCCACGTCCCTCAGTTTCTATACAGTATACCGTAGTTCTAGCCTCCTAAAAGCATTAGGTGGGTCATGCGTTAACTACACAAAGTCACCTTTGCATATACGATGTCGTAAATAACGTTTGAGAAACGAGGTCGTTAAGGTGTCCTTCCAGACAATGAAATAAGGACATCTTAGTTATATCGTAGCAATCTCGTAAGTTTAGTCACAACTTTAAGATACGAGAATTTTTCGAGACAACCACCCCTGGACTATTAACAGAATTTCAGTCATCCGGCTAAATTTTATCAGTAGGCTATGCCGTGTTTTTATGTCAGTAAAGCCATAGGACTGCTTATGATAATGTGTTTATAACACTACAATAATGGACATTGTGTACAAGTTGCGCATACTTACAAATCCAAGCCGCCTAAGTAAATAATACATATTGTGATGGTAGCTGTGGAAACAAAAATACACATGATATGTGACTCAAAAAAGTAACACGCCCGAAATTCGACCTTTCTTCATCACAATTCTGCATTATTAAGTTGCGTCAGTTAAATTCTAAATTACGACTGTCACCCTTCTATCTTTATTTTGGAGAACATGCATGTATGC